GGCTCGTGACTGCAATCCTAGCACTTTGGGAGGCCAAGGAAGGAACATTACTTGAGCTCAGGACTTTGAGACCAGCTTGGGCAACATAGCCAGACTCTCTTTGAAAAATAAAATAAAATAAAGGAAAAGCCAGAAATGAAAAACAGTTAACAGATGTGAAGAATGCTTTCAATGGCTCATCAACTTGACAAAGCAATGGAAAAGTCAACTTAATAATTTGTCAGTCAAAATGGCTTAGTCAATGGAAACTAAAAACACAAAGAGAAAAATAATAGGGACACAAAGAACAGACAAACCAAGAGTTGTCAACAACCTCAAACATAAGTATAATTGAAACCCCTGAAGAAGAGAGTATGGGAAGAAACATTTGAAGAAATAACAATCAAAGACCGGCTGTGGTGGCTCATACCTGTAATCCCAGCACTTTGGGAGGCCAAGGTAGGCAGATCATGAGGTCGGGAGTTCGAGACCAGCCTGACCAACACGGAGAAATCCCATCTCTACTAAAAATACAAAATTAGACAGGTGTGGTGGTACATGCCTGTAATCCCAGCTACTTGGGAGGTTGAGGCAGGGGAATGACTTGAACCTGGGAGGCAGAGGTTATGGTGAACCTCTGCCTCTTATTGCACTATAGTCTAGGCAATAAGAGTGAAACTCTGTCTCAAAAAGAAAAGAAGAAGTAACAACCACAGATTTTCCAAAATTTACAGCATACACAAATCCACAAATCAAAGAAACCCAGAGGGAAAAAAAAAAAACCCAGATCTAGGTATACCATATTCAACCTGCTACAAATAAAGAGAAAAGCTTGAAGACACCAAAGGAAACAATACATTACACGTTGAAGAACAAAAATAAGAACTATAATAGAGTCCTGGCTGGCATGGTTTCTGACAAGAAGATAGTAGAGTGATTTAAAGAGTTAAAAGAAAAAAATTGTCAAGACAGAATTCAGTATTTTGTAAATATATCTTTTAAAACTGAAGAAATAAACATTTTCTCAAACAAAAACTAACAGAATCTACTGCCAGTATACCAGCACTACAGAAAATGTTAAAAGAAGTTCTTTAAGCAGAAAAAATAAGATACTGGACAGAAACATGGATCTACACAAAGAAAAAGTGCTGAAACAGAATATCCTGGAGGAAAATCAAATTTCTTCTTCTTCTTTTTTTTTTTTTTTGAGACGGAGTTTCGCTCTTATTACCCAGGCTGGAGTGCAATGGCGCGATCTCGGCTCACTGCAACCTCCGCCTCCTGGGTTCAGGCAATTCTCCTGCCTCAGCCTCCTGAGTAGCTGGGATTACAGGCACGCGCCACCATGCCCAGCTAATTTTTTGTATTTTTAGTAGAGATGGGGTTTCACCATGTTGACCAGGATTGTCTCGATTTCCTGACCTTGTGATCCATCTGCCTCGGCCTCCCAAAGTGCTGGGATTACAGGCTTGAGCCACCGTGCCCGGTGGAAAATCAAATTTCATTAAAATTTTTACATTTCTATGAAAGGTAACTTTGATGCAAAATTAGTAGCATATATTATATGACTGGACAATATGTAAAATGTATGACAACTTCACAAAAGAGGTAGAAAGATCTGGAAATACACTGTTGTAAGAGCCTTGGATTACACACGAATTGTGTAATTATTTATTATTCATAATTTATTATTTGAAGGTAAACTCTATTGTAAAACCTAGAACAACCACTGAAAAAACTCTTGATAGGTGTATAAATAAGTGAAGATAAATTTTTTTTTTTTTGAGACGGAGTTTCGCTCTTGTTACCCAGGCTGGAGTGCAATGGTGCGATCTCGGCTCACCGCAACCTCCGCCTCCTGGGTTCAGGCAATTCTCCTGCCTCAGCCTCCTGAGTAGCTAGGATTACAGGCACCCGCCACCATGCCCAGCTAATTTTTAGTATTTTTAGTAGAGATGGGGTTTCACCATGTTGACCAGGATGGTCTCGATCTCTTGACCTCGTGATCCACCCGCCTCGGCCTCCCAAAGTGCTGGGATTACAGGCTTGAGCCACCGCGCCCGGCCGATAAATTTTGAAGATAAAAATTGAATCATAATATCTAATAAATCCAAGAGAAGGTAGAAAAAAAGAAAGAACAAATGGAATAAACAAAATAGCTAGCAAGGTGACAGATTATCAATCCAAATAAAATCACAAAACTGAGACCAAACATGACAGCAAAAGAAACTATGAAACTAAATGGTTTTTATACTTTTTTTTTTTTTTCTTTGAGAGGGAATCTCACTCTGTCACCCAGGCTGGAGTGCAATGGCATGATCTTGGCTCACTGCTGCAATCTCCACCTTCCAGGTTCAAGCGATTCTCCTGCCTCAGCCTCCCAAGTAGCTGGGACTACAGGCATGCGCCATCGCACCTCGCCAATTTTTTTTTGTATTTTTAGTAGAGACGGTTTTACCGTGTTGGCCAGGCTGGTCTCAAACTCTTGACCTCAGCTGATCTACCTGTCTTGGCCTCCCAAAATGCTGGGATTACAGGCATGAGTCACTGCACCCCGCTGGTTTTTATAGTTTTACTGAAATACAGTTCATACATTATAAAATTGACCTCCCCCAAGTATACATATACTCAGTGGTTTTTAGCCTATTCAGAGTTGAACAATAATTTGTGAGACTGAATTTTAAAAAGTACCCATCTATATAATGTTTACCAGAGATGTAAACACACAGATAAATTAAAATTCAAAGATGGGAAAAAATACAGTAAAACATATCTTAAGAAATCTAAATCCAAAATATTAAAAACCTGAATCCCGCAATGGGAATGTGTTGTATCTGTTGTGATCTCCATCACAAATGTTTTTAGTATTTTGACAACTGTACCTCAACAGAAGTGGCTTGCTTTGCAATCCTTTGTATTTGGTTTTATGCATTAAAAAACATTATTTTAAGAAGAGTTCCATAGGTTCCAGACTGCCAAAAGTGTTGATGGCACACACAAACACAAAAACAGTAAGAACCTTTATACTTAAGAAGCTCTTGAAGATATAAACAAGGAAACATAAACAAGAATGTTCAGAGTAGCACTCTTGGCAACAACAAAGAGAGTGAATCAATTAATTGAGGTACAGTTGCTGATAGACTTTTCTAAAAGTCCCTAAAATAACGGAACTGGATTTACATGGACAAATTTTTTCATCTAAATGGTGGATACATGAGTGTTTGATATAATGCTCTTTAGATTACTATATACCATCACCATTACACCACACCATTTTTTTTTATTTATTTTTCATTTATCAATGTGAAAACTGCCTGGATCATCACCATGATGAGAAATAAAACAAAGGATGATGGAAATGAAAACACAGGGAGTGTGTTTTATTTCTCTTATTTCTGCCTGTGTTTCAGCTTCTATAAGCCAAATGGTCATCAGTTCATCTTGTGACTCATTCATAGCATTTTTCTCAGGTGGGTCTTTCCATCTCCCAGTAGTACGAGCTAAGTGGCGCTAAAGCAGAAAAAAATTATATTCCAGCAAATACTCATCACCAGTCCAAATACTGACATCTAGGAACCAATGCCTTAAACCAACCCGCTTCCAGCAAAATCCATCCAAAATCACACTTACTTGTCAGGGACAGCATTACTAGGCAGGGACAACACAAATTCCTTAGGAAACCTTTCTCCAAACCACCTAGTTAAAATTAATTTTCTCCTCCTAGTCTCCATAGCAATTTCTACCTCTCTACTTACCAAATTTCTGAATTATATTAATATAGTCTATGCACATCTGCTTTCTCAAGTGTAAGTCCTTTAATGGCTGGGACAGTGCTTTGTGTTTCACAAGTTCTCAAAATCGTGTCTGTTGGATTTGATTTATTCACCTATACCCACTGTGAAATAAATCCTCAACACTGGCTTAAAAGCTGTGTTTGCATCTTTAGTATCTATACTAAAATATCTGATTACAAAAATAAAACTTCCCATTGTAAAACTTAGATTTCTACTATTCATAATCTCAATAGAACCTCTTCCTATTTTAATTATACTATAAAATAATATGTGAAAAGCATTTTATAAAGAATAATACAAGAAAAATCTAAGAAAATAACTTTGAACAATGCAAAACAAGATATATTTATTCTGAAGAAATTACATATTCATGTTATCATGTTTGAGATTATGATCATTTTGCACATTGGAATAAAGAATGATGTATGAGTTAAGTATGCCCCCTAGTGACTAAATAAATATTTTAAAAGCCAAATAACAATATTCACAGAGCATAAAGAATATGGTCCAAACAACTGTACTACATGAAAACCAAATGTGTCTTTGCCATGCAAATGGGTTTCATAAAAAAGACTTTTGTAGATCTTAAGTATATTTAAGATAGAATTTATTGGAGAGAAGAGAGACCTGAGAAGAAAGAAGGGCAATTTTAGAATTCACTGCCCAGGATCACCACATTAAACAACTTTATGAAGCATCATTCACATCATAGTATACGTCTGTGGTTTCCAACTGGGGCAATTTTGTCCCCAGGGGACATTTGGCAATGTGTGTAGAAACATTTTTGGTCATCGCAACCTGGGGTGGGAGAGACGTGAGTGGCATCTAGTGGGTACAGGCCAGGGATGCTGCTAAACATCTACAACGCACAGGCCAGCTCCATAAAACCAAGTATCTTCTAGCCAAAAATGTTCAAAGTATTGAGGCTGAGAAATTTTGCTCTACATAGTGTTTCTTCTCAAGTTATGCGGCAGGGCAATGCTATGAGTTTTACTCAATAAAGTCAAATAAAATTTGACTTGCTTGAACTTTGAATGGTTTAAAGGAGGATTAAATCTCAGAAATCAAAGATAAAAATTTTTTGCCCTCTTCATTTGGTCTAGAAAATTGCAGTCTATACAGTTTCATATCGTCACTGTTCACCTCTATTCTAGGGATGATACAATCTGTGCATAAACCCTCAATCAGCTAATGATACTATTAAGATACTGGGCCTTCTCATCATACCTGTGTTTCCATTTCCATCATCCTTTGTTTTATTTCTCTTATTTCTGCCTGTGTTTCAGCTTCTCTAAGTCGAATGGTCATCAGTTCATCTTGTACCTCATTCATAGCACTTTTCTTAGGTGGGTCTTTCCATCTCCCAGTAGTACGAGCTAGGTGCCGCTAAAGCGGAAAAAAAAATTATATTGCCGCAAATACTCTCAGTATCAAAATAAGAGCTAATATTACTGAGCACTTATTTCAAGGTGTGCTATATAAAACACTTTCTACACATTATTTTATTTAATCCCTAAAAAATCCTATTAATCAGGCACTGTTATCGTCACTTTACAGGTAAGAAAATGAACATTGTGATTAAGTAACTTCGGGAGGATCACACAGCCAGTGGCAGATCTGGGACAGAAACTCAAATATAGTTCAAATATTTTTCTCTATATACTGCGGATTAATTCTTGAAAAGAATACAATTTTCATTATAATTTTTTTCTTTTGAACCACACTTGTCTGAGACACTAATTTTTTTTAATGAGAGATTTTTCATATTATCTTCAATGAAATCCCAATAAATCAGAAAAAAAAAAATGGGGCCATTAAAGAAGGAATTTAAGAAGTTAGAGGCAGTGTTTCTCAAGGTATCTGTTGGTAAAGGACAAGTTTTGTCTTTTTTGTTTCAAAATTTCAAGTTCATTGCAATCTTTTCAAAACATGGTTAAAAAAAAAAAAAGGATGAAAATGTCAAGGCCTAATTTTGGTCCTTGTATAGAACATGTATTTTGTTCCTTGTCAACATTTCCCTCATACATGAATAAATGTGTGGGCATATACCAGAAAAATGTGATTTATTTGGTAAGATAACTAAGTAAGTTACTCATTTATAGATAAAATTTATAATGTTGTCATCCTTTTAGTGTTTCACACTAACCAACAACGGATTTAACATCAACATAAGGCCGGGCGCGGTGGCTCAAGCCTGTAATCCCAGCACTTTGGGGGGCCGAGGCGGGTGGATCGCGAGGTCGAGAGATCGAGACCATCCTGGTCAACATGGTGAAACCCCGTCTCTACTAAAAAAAAAAATAAATAAATACAAAAAATTAGCTGGGCATGGTGGCACATGCCTGTAATCCCAGCTACTCAGGAGGCTGAGGCAGGAGAATTGCTTGAACCCAGGAGGCGGAGGTTGCAGTGAGCCGAGATCGCGCCATTGCACTCCAGCCTGGGTAACAAGAGCAAAACTCCGTCTCAAAAAAAAAAAAACAAAAACAAAACAAAAAATCAACATAAGACAAAATATGTACTACATAGGAGAAATACTTCTACAGATTTTCAGAAAAAGTTATACAAGGCACAATGGTACAACAACAATGTATCTTTTATTTTACTATAAGAGGGAGAAACAGCTTATATGCACTTTCAGTTTATAAATACTCTCAATTTTGACATTAAACAGGGTCAGTGAGAGACACTTTAAACTCATCTCCTACTGTAGGTCATCAGCTACTTCAAACTCTTACAAATTTGATATTCGGGTTTTACTGTCTTTTAGAAAAGCACACAAAATATATTAATATACCTGCCAATGTTCCTCTAAATCCTTGACTTGCTGTCTAAGTTCTTTCAAACCCATAATGGCTTCTGCTTCTCTCAGTTTCACAGCAATTAGCTCTTCCTGAAGCCTTGCAATATTATTCTCATCAGGAAAAGAGTTATTTCTCTACAGAAGAAGAAAATTTAATTAGAAATTTTTAAATTTAAGGAATAAAACATAGCCCATAAAACAGCTATTTTGTTCCACACTTAAATGTATTTAATTTTATACAGCTCTACTGCAGTATAATTCACAAACTATGAAGCTCACTCTTTTAAAATATACAAGCCAGTGGTTTTTAGAGTCTTTACAGGCTTGTTAAAGATCTAACGTCAGAATATTTTTATCATGCAAAAAAGAAAACCTATACTCATCACCAGTCATTCTACATTCCCCATTTCCCCAGACCCTGGCAACCACCAATCTACTTCTTGTTTCCATGAATTTGCCTATTGGGACATTTCTTGTAAGCGAATCATATATGTTTATAGCTTTTTGTGACAACCTTACTTCACTTAGAACGTTTTCAAGGTTCAATCTTTTTTTTTATGCCAAACGATATTCTACTGTATAGATATACCACATTTAATCTATTTATTCATCAGTTAATAGGGGTTGTTTCCACTTTTTGACTATTATAAACAATGTTGCTATGAACATTGGTGAAAAAGTTTTTGTGTAGACTTATGCTTTCAAATTCTTAAGTATATACTTAGGAACAGATCTGCTGGCTCAGATGGTAATTATTCTGTGTTTAACTTTTAAGAAACTGCCAAACTTTTGCAAAGCAGCTGTACTGCTTTTCATTTCCACTAGCAATGTATGAGGGAAACTGTACTTAATTTTGAGGAAACAGAAATCTAACTCTGATTTGTTAATAAAATACTAATCAGAGTTATGGAGCAACAGGATTAAAAATTTTTTCAATATGGCAATAAACTTATTAACCTCTGATTAGACTTCAAATAAAGCATGAACATAATTTACTGTAAAAATATTTATAGAAAATAATAGTCCAAAATCTGTTTCTGTTGTATTTCCTCAGCATGTTATCTTTGAGAGCAGTATCAAATCTCTGTGTATTAGTCACTATGTACATCAAGTCAAGAAATACAAATTAAACAATTTAACAACTGATTCAAATTAACTGAAATTAAACAATTTGATTCATGAATATAAGATTTATTTATTTTTATTTTTCCATAAGTTATTGGCGAACAGGTGGTATTTGGTTACATGAGTAAGTTCTTTAGCAGTAGGTGATTTGTGAGCTTTTAGTGCCCAAGCAATATATTGCACTCTATTTGTAGTCTTTTATCCCTCACTCCCCCTCACTCTTCTCTCCAAGTCCCCAAAGTCCAGTGAATTATTCTTATGCTTTTGTGTCCTCATAGCTTAGCTCCCACCATCAGTACAATGTTTGGTTTTCCATTCCTGAGTTACTTCACTTAGAATAATAGTCTCCAGTCTCATCCAGGACACTGCAAATGCTGTTAGTTCATTCCTTTTTATGGCTAATATTCCATTGTGTGTGTGTGTGTGTGTGTGCATATGCACACACACACACCACAGTTTCTTCATCCACTTGTTAACTGATGGGTATCTGGGTTGGTTCCATGATTCTGCAATTGCTAATTGTGCTGCTATAAACATGTGTGTGCAAGTATCTTTTTCAAATAATGACTTTTTCCCTCTGGGTAGATACCCAGTAGTGCAACTGCTGGATCAAATGGGACTTCTACTTTTCGTTCTTTAAACAATCTCCATACTGTTTTCCATAGTGGCAGTGGCAGTACTGGTTTATATTCCCACCAGCAGTGTAAAAGTGTTCCCTGATCACTGCATCCACGCTAACATCTACTGTTTTTTGGTTTTTTTATTATGGCCAATCTTGCAGAAATAAGGTGGTATTGCATTGTGGTTTTGATTTGCACTTTCCTGATCATTAGCAATGTTGAGTATTTTTTCATATGTTTGTTGGCTATTTGTATATCTTCTTTTGAGAATTGTCTATTCATGTCCTCTGACCACTTTTTGATTGGGACTGTTTTTTTCTTACTGATTTGAGTTCATTGTAGATTCTAGATATTAGTCCTTTGTCAGATGTATAGATTAGGAAGATTTTCTCCCACTCTGTGGGTTGTCTGTTTACTCTGCTGACTGTTCCTTTTGCCATGCAAAAGCTCTTTAGTTTAATTAGGTCCCAGCTATTTATCTTTGTTTTAATTGCATTTGCCTTTGGGTTCTTGGTCATGAAATTCTTGCCTAAGCCAAAGTCTAGAAGAGATTTCCAATGTTATCTTCTAGAATTTTTATAGTTTCAGGTCTTAGCTTTAAGTCCTTAATCCATCTTGAGTTGATTATTGTATAAGCTATGATCCAATTTCCTTCTCCTACATGTGGCTAGGCAACTATCTCAGCACATGGATACAAGATTTTAGATTAATTTCCCACCATATTAAAAGATAAAAAGGACACAGGGTAACCCATTATCAAACTGCTCTGGAGAATTACCAAGAGATCCAAAACTAGGCCCTAGGGAAAACTCCCTAGGTAAACAGGTAAACTGAGGTAACTGGTAACATTGAGATTTCAAGGTCTGATTCTATGAAATTTTCTTTTTCATACACACACACACACACACATTATTGCACTTTAGGTTCTGGGATACATGTGCAGAACATGCAGAATTGTTGCTTAGGTACCTACATGGCAATGTGGCTTGCTGCCTCCATCCCCCATCACCTCTATCAGGCATTTCTCCCCATGTTATCCCTCCCCAACCTCCCTAAACCGCCTTGTCCCTCCCCTATTCCCCTGCAACAGACTCCAGTGTGTGGCACCCTCCTCCCTGTGTCCATGTGTTCTCATTGTTCAACACCTGCCTGTGAGTGAGAACATGCGGTGTTTGATTTTCTGCTCTTGTGTCAGCTTGCTGAGAATGATGGTTTCCAGATTCATCCATGTCCCTACAAAGGACATAAACTCATCATTTTTTATGGCTGCCTAGTATTCCATGGTGTATATGTGTCACATTTTCCTTGTCCAGTCTATCATAGATGGGCATTTGGGTTGGTTCCAGGTCTTTGCTATTGTAAACAGTGTCACAATTAACATATGTGTGCATGTTTCTTTATAATAGAATGATTTATAATCCTTTGGATGTATACCCAGTAATGGGATTGCTAGGTCAAATGGAATTTCTATTTTTAGGTCCTTGAGGAATCGCCACACTGCCTTCCACAATAGTTGAACTAATTTACACTCCCACCAACAGTGTAAAAGTGTTCCTATTTCTCCACATCCTCTCCAGCATCTGTTGTCTCCAGATTTTTAAATGATCGCCATTCTAACTGGAGTGAGATGGTATCTCAATGTGGTTTTGATTTGCATTTCTCTAATGCCCAGTGATGATGAGCATTTTTTCATATGTTTGTTGGCCTCATAAACGTCTTCTTTTGAGAGTGTCTGTTCACATCCTTCGCCCACTTTTGAATGGGTTGGTTGGTTTGTTTCTTGTGAATCTATTTTAGTTCTTTGTAGATTCTGGATATTAGCCCTTTGTCAGATGGGTAGATTGCAAAAATTTTTTCCCATTCTGTTGGTTGCCAGTTCACTCTAATGATTGTTTCTTTTTCTGTACAGAAGCTCTGGAGTTTAATTAGACCCCATTTGTCTATTTTGGCTTTTGTTGCCAATGCTTTTGGTGTTTTAGTCATGAAGTCCTTGCCTATGTCTATGTCCTGAAAGGTTTTGCCTAAGTTTTCTTCTAGTGTTTTCATGGTGTTAGGTCTTATGTTTAAGTCCTTAATCCATCTGGAATTAATTTTAGTGTGTCAGAAAGGGGTCCAGTTTCTGCTTTCTGCACATGGCTAGCCAATTTTCCTAACAGCATTTATTAAACAGGGAATCTTTTCCCCATTGCTTTTGTTAGGTTTGTCAAAGATCAGATGGTTGTAGATGTGTGGCATTCCCTCTGAGGCCTCTGTTCTGGTCCATTGGTCTATATCTGTTTTGGTACCGGTATGTTGCTGTTTTGATTACTGTAGCCTTGTAGTATAGTTTGAAGTCAGGTAGAGTAATGCCTCCAGCTTTGTTCTTTTTTAGAATTGTCTTGGCTATGCAGGCTCTCTTCTGGTTCCATATGAAGGTGGTTTTTTCCAGTTCTGTGAAGAGGGTCACAGGTAGCTTGATGGGGATAGCACTGAATCTATAAATTATTTTGGGCAGTATGGCCATTTTCACAATACTGATTCTTCCTAACCATGAGCATGGAATATTTTTCCATTTGTTTGTGTCCTCTCATTTCTTTGAGCAGTGGTTTGTAGTTCTCCTTGAAGAGGTCCTTTACATTCTTTGTTAATTGTATTCCTAGGTATTTTATTCTCTTTATAGCAATTGCGAATGGCAGTTCGTTCTTGATTTGGCTCCCTTTAAGTCTGTTATTGGTGTATAGGAATGCTTGTGATTTCTGCACATTGAGTTTTGTATCCCGAGACTTTGCTGAAGTTGCTTATCAGTTTCACGAGATTTTGGGCTGAGACAATGGGGTCTTGTAAATATACAATCATGTTGTCTGCAAATAGAGACAATATGACTTCTTCCTTTCCTAACTGAATATGCTTTATTTCTTTTTCTTGCCTGATTGCTCTGGCTAGAACTTCCAATACTATATTGAATAGGAGTGGTGAGAGAGGGCATCCTTGCCTAGTACCGGATTTCAAAGGGAATGCTTCCAGTTTTTGCCCATTCAGTATGATATTGATTGTGGGTGTGTCACACATAGCTTTTATTATTTTGAGATATGTTCCATCAATACCTAGTTTATTGAAAGTTTTTAGCATAAAGGGCTGCTGAATTTTGTCAAAGGCCTTCTCTGCATCTATTGAGATAATTATGTGGTTTTTGTCTTTGGTTCTGTTTGTGTGGTGGATTATGTTTATAGACTTGGGTATGTTGAACCAGCCTTGCATCCCCAGGATGAAGCCTACTTGATCGTGATGGATAAGCTCTTTGAAGTGCTGTTGCAATCAGGTTGCCAGTATTTTAAGGAAGATTTTTACATCTATGTTCATCATGGATATTGGCCTGAAGTTTTCTTTTTTTGTTGAGTCTCTGCCAGGTTTTGGTATCAGGATGATGTTGGTCTCATAAAATGATTTGGGAAGGATTCTCTTTTTTTGGAAATTTTCTATCTCTAATATTTCATGGTGCACATGTAGCTTTCTGCTCATAGGGATGATGAAATGGAGTTATTCCTGCCAATTATACATTCTTATGATGGACTTTAAATATTTCCTCAATTGAAAACCAAAAATTTACTGCATATGCATTTAAAAGATTGTTGGAAGCAGTAAAAAAGAGGGCACTGCATGAATATATCACCACAGGAAGCACGCTACCTTTCTCTACTTTATACTGTGAAAACACAGCCATCGAAGAAATCCATTTTTGAATGGAACCCAAATACACTTCTACCCAATATTCAAAATCTTTCTAACTGTAGACACAAATTCTTATCTAAATCATGTAACCCAGAATACACCTAAGTTAGGGACCAAATATTCTGCTAGGCATTCCTTTCAGCATTCTTGCTGGCTTTTTTTTTCAACAAATCAAGATAATACATTTTCCAGAAATATAAAAATAGCAAGCCATTTTCTAGCAAAATTATTCCACTACTGATTCTAGTTATACTATAACTATAGTTATACTATACTGATTTCTAGTTCATTAAGAAAATAGTTTAAAACACCCGAGGCTGTTACATCCATTATCTATTAGCTTTTTGGATTCAATAGCTAGCTATTACCTAAGTGTAAAAAGGAACAAATGACACAGACGCCAGGCCACCAGTAAATTGACAGATGAGAAACAAGAGATGCAGAGTTTGTGATCTAGAACTTTTAAATCTGAAAGTTGTAATAAACCTGAAGTTCTTTTACTACCATTACTTAGCTAATTTTTGATGTTCTTTAATACCCTTGAAGTAAGTTGGCTTCTGTAAGTACACCACAGGCTGAAAGGAAATTCCTACATATCCTGAGGTAACTTGTTCTGGATTGGACAGTTCTAACAACTAAATTCAGATGAAATTTTCCCTAAATTGTCTATGTATTAGTCCTATTCTATCTCTTCCACATGAAAATACTATAATGTTTCAAGATAAGAGTTAATTTCTGTCACCTGAATTTCTTTTCTACAACATTTAGATATTCTTGTGAAAATTATTCTGGTTGCTTTCCTCCAAAAGGGCTCCAATCTCCATTTTTATCCTTAAATCTGGGGCTTTGATTAGTATGAAGGCAACAAGGAATAACTGACAAGTTAAAAAATATTTTCTTCCTTTTCTCTCTTAGTAACTAATATGTAAGGCTTCTAATGTGTAAAAACACCAAGTCGATTAAATTGCTCAGTACCTTATAAATATTATACATCCCCTCTAATTTGGGAGTGACTAAATTTGCATAGGTTTCTTACCTTCTCTATATCCAAGACTTTATCCTGCATCTCTTTTAGTGCACACTGAGACTCAGCTTCACTCAGTCGGGCTTGAACTAATTCCTTTTCTAGCTGTAGCACAAAATCTTCATTGTAGTTGGAACTGCATTTATGCTAAGGGTTATAGACATATTCTGAAATTTCATGGAAGTATGAACATGCATATATAGTAAAAACAATGCAACTACATAATACAGTTATATTATATTAAGGGCAACTAAATAGGTGAAGTTCCATCTACCCAATATTTCCAGCGTGTCTCCTCCAAGTAACTTTTCAATGAGTAAAAAAGCCCAACTTTGATATCTATAAAGATGACCAGATTATTGGTAACTAGTTATTACAATGATCAAATATGATTCATATAAGATAAACATCTCCTTTTATCTGTCCATCCATCCAGATACTAAGAATTTGTTCTGACTTTACAGACCTGCACCACACAACAAATAGGATAGCAATTAGCCACATGTGGCTACTGAATACTTGAAATGTGGCTAATCCAGATTAAAACAAGTTGTAAGTATAAAATACAACTGGATTTTGAAGACTTGATGTGAAATACAAGAATAAAACATCTCAATGATTTTTATATTGATTATATGTTAAAACAATATTTTGAATGTACTGAGGTAAATAAAAATATTAATTTTACCTTTTTTACTCCTTTTAATGTGGCTATTAGAAAATTTTAAATTGCATATGTGACACATATTGCTATATTGCCACTATTCTGTAGTTCTGTTATATACTACAGAAGACATGTAAACATTACTGAAAATTGTATTTTAATCTAATGGAAAAAAAAAAAACAAAAACCAAAACAGTGTACTGGCTATGCACGGTGGCTCATGCCTGTAATCCCAGCACTTTGGGAGACTGAGGCGGGTGGATCACCTGAAGTCAGGAGTTCCAGACCAGCCTGGCCAACATGGTGAAACCCTGTCTCATACAAAAATTAGCTGGGCGTGGTGGTGCATGCCTGTAGTCCCAGCTCCCCAGGGGGCTGAGACAGGAGAATCACTTGAACCCAGGAGGCAGAAGTGAGCCAAGATCGCACCACTGCACTCCAGCCTGGGCGACAAGAGCAAGACTCCACCTCAAAAAAAAAAAGACAACAAAAAAACAGGGTACCCACAATAACGTGAACCATCTAAATCCCAAAGTAACAAAACTGTATTTGCCCTTAGAAATGTAGAAATCTTCTTTAAAAGATATGCATAGTTTCCCAGCACTTTGGGAGGCTGAGGCGGGCGGATCACTTGAGGCCAGGAGTTCAAGACCAGCCTGGCCAACATGGTGAAACCCTGTCTCTACTAAAAATACAAAAATTAGCTGGGCGTGGTGGCACATGCCTGTAGTCCCCACTACTAGGGAGGGTGAGGCAGGAGAATCGCTTGAGCCCTAAGGGGGAGGTTTTAGTGAGCTGACATCATCATGCTACTGTATTCAAAAGACTCTGTCTCAAAAATTAAAAAAAAAATACACATGCAAGTAAATAATTACTGGAAACAGAGAAGAAGCAGATGCTGCACAAAGAAATTAACCATGGAAGTATGCAACCTTCCCATTTCCTTTTGATGCAAACACTTAAGTTGTCATTTTTAAGCCAGTACCCATACAAAAGCTTCTGTACAAAAGCAATACGTAATTCATCATAATAGAAGACTTTCTAAAATAAACCATCTATTCATATTTAATTCATGTAGTAAGGAAAATGTGGCAACTCAAAATTTCAAAATAAAGTCATTTTAAAAATCTACTGAACTAGCATAAATAAAGCATGGTTATTTTTACTCTTTAATAGGTTAGGAACAAAATAATAGATGTCAAATTAAAACTATTAAAAATTACTAGATGCTTAATTAAAATACCTGGTACTCTCCTGTCCCAGTTTACCAAAAAAAGACGTGCAAATGAGGACTTTAATTCAATGCATTATACATTATTTCTTCTAGTAATTTTGATACGATTCAAACAATATTTCAATACAAGAAGTACATCTGCAATAGAGACATCATCTTAGCAAATACTTACCTGATATCAATTAAGGCCTTTGGAATAACCACATCCAAACTGGACATGCCATAATTTATTTAATCAGATCATAGTTATTTCATTTGTACTGGTAGAATTTTTTGACCTCACCTTAAAGTCCTGGCAACTATAGTACAGGTTTGCTTGCTAAGACTTTATATTAGGAGATCCCCAAGAAAACACGGAACCCAAAAGGCCCATATGAGAATGGAATTCTTGATTGGTATAAACCAATTAATCCAATGAAGTACAAAAAACTATGGTAATATTGGGAACAAATCTTTATTAATAAAATTTACAGAGAGTTGAAATGCTCTGATAACAAGTCATTTTCAGTAACATGTATCTTACACTTTTTATACACTAAAAAAGATTATTTTTGTGTTCTGGATTAAAATAATTCTAAATATATTATGTAATTTTTTTGCCACTGACAGAGTCGACAGAATATGATTCTTAATTCTCAGGTCATCATCATGATGACCAATTAACACACTGCAAATTATATAGGGTCTAAGGAATACAAAGTATTTCTGGTGGTATAACAGATAAAACATGAATCTGTACCTTTTTAGGTTTTTTACGCCTGGTTTAATTTTCTCACCAGCTTTCCCTCTATTGTCATTTTCTGTAACTTTTTATCCTAGTTTTATCTTGGTTCTCTCATCTTGATGCTTATTCTTGCCTGTATTATCAGTCACCTGCTTCACTCTCTTATCCTTTGAGTCACAGACTCTTTGGGAATCATATAAGGGCCATAGGACTCTCTTTTCCAAAAAAAAAAAAAAAAAATTATATTTCACAATATTTTAGATACAATTTCAGGCTTCTCTGAAGTTTCCATATATTCCAACTTAAGAATCTCTGCTCCTACAAGGTACTCTAATTCCCTATTTTTATGATCATTAATTCAATGTAAAAGACTATACTGGATCTCTAATACCAAGTACTACCATTCTCAGAAGTTCTAGTTTCTGACTCGTGGTCATTTCCACACAAATGTTCTATATTCAAAATCAAACTTAATCAAAAGGTTGATCGTCATCTTCCTCAAATCACTGCTTTTCCTTGATTTCTCTATTTGCCACTGGCCTAAAATCTGTCACATGGCCCCCTAGTGTTGCTGCCTGTCATGGAACAATAAGACTTTTTTTTTTTTTTTTTGGCTATAGAATCTTGCCCTTGTCACTTTTTTCATTTCCCACCATTACCCTAGTATCTGATGTCTGCATTTGCATTTTGATCCATTGTGTATGCTGGCACCAGAGTGCCCCAAATCACCACTTTAAGCGATGTAATTCCTTAAATCAAAAACATACAATTGTCCTTTATTCAGCTCTTACCTTCAATGGACAGTCTAGGACATCGAACACACTGGTCACTCTTACCTAAAACTCCTCCCCTTAGATTTTCAGGCATTACTCTTTTGTTGATCTCCTGTCTATTTTCTGTCTTCCCTGTGAATTCTACTCATAGAACTGTGTATGTGTATGTATATGTGTGTATATCAATCAGTAGTCCCAAGGGTTTCATCACTGTGTTGTCTCTCAATTTTTCCTTTTTTTATTATTTTATAATTATCTCTACGTTATTTCATGTACTGTCTGTGGACTCTATGTGTATAGGAAATATCAGATACTGTCTAGATCTATATATTGTCTATATTGACAATGAATAAAATCACCAAGGAACAATTTATAAAACAGTAAAAAGGGGAAGGTAGAAGGAAACAGAGATAGGGAGACAGGGGGCATGTAACGATAGAAACTTGCAGGGGGGAAAACAGAGGAAAAAAAAGGAGGAGAGAGTAGAGCAGGGGAGGAGAGGAGAGAAGGAGAAAAAGGGAAGAAGAGGGAGGAGAAGCAGCAGCAGGAGGAGGAGGATGAGGAGAAGGAAGAGGAAGAGAAAGGAGGAAGAGGAGAAGGAAGAGAAAGGGGAGGAAGAAGAGAAAGAGAAGGACCAGGAGGAGAAGAGAGTAGGGGAAGGTAGGGGAGAGGATCCAAGTATGGATTTGTGATGACTCTCAAATCGGTATTTCCAGCCAAGAGCTTTCTATTAAGCTACAGATCCACATTTACAACTTCCTACTGGTCAATTCCATCTGGCTGGCTTCATATTCATCTCATATTCAACATGTCAAAACTGAATTCTCCATCTTTTCTTCCTCATGTATTTACTATTCTGTTAAGGACACCCCAATCTCACAAGAGATCAAGTCAAAACTCTCTTCTATTCAACCTGTACCACCCAATCACAATATCTCAGTAATTTTTCTTCCAGTTATTTTGTTAACTTGCTCCTCTCCATCTTCATTGCCATTATTTTTATTCCTGCTCTCATCTCTTTCTTTGGATTACTGCAGTGCTCTCATATATAATCCCTCCTAACCACTGCAGCACTTACTGTGGGTATTATTATTTAATATTTTATGCTACCTCTCAGACAAGATTGTAATGAATAGAAGGCATTTTTACAATTCCACCAACTGGATCAGGTAGGTGTTTTCTGGCACTACTGTTTTGAGCCTGAGAAAGTTTTGATTCTATGATTATTAATGTGAACATGTCAACGAAAAGTATACACTTTAATATTCACAATGAATCTAATTCCATGAAGCCGACTTCATTCCATTATCAATTTTTCTATATACCAATTAGCCCTGTCCAATTCTGTCCACATCGACTTTTACTGGTATTTTCATTAGGATCAATTCTTAATGGGTAAATTTTGCAAATAAGTCTAAATTTATTAACTAGATGTTTTATTGTTGTTGTTTGTTCCAGTCCAAATTTCACCCATCAGAACTTCTGAATTGAATTTTCTTTTTTGGACATTATTTTTACCGTTTCTGAACTTCCCTGTTCAAATTTTTGCAGGTCTAAATTTGGTCAGGAAGGTGATACTTCTTTTAATATTTAGGCTATGAAAATTTTTACTGTATCATTTTTAGCTCTTTGTAAGTTTTGATTTTAGTTATTAGCAGCTTATGACATAGGCTGAGCAAACTGGTAGCATTGTGATAATGGAATAATGTTAATACTACTCCTAATAATAGCTACCATTCACTGAACACTCAC